ATCCGAACTCAAACCTCTCTCTCCCTCTGTCTCCGCCATGACATTACAATATCACATATCGACATGTCTTTTTTTTTTTTTTTTTTTAATAATTTTTAATGGACATGTCGCTTAAACACGGCAATTACCCACTTTAAATCTTGCTACGCGACAAACCCCTTTCATAATCTGATTCTGATTTCCATTTCCAACCGTCGGATTTCTATTTCCTCTTCAATCACTGCCGTCTGCTTACTGGAACCCACCTTGGCGTTGCTCTTAAACCAAGCTTAAATTAAATATAATAGAAGAGAATACCCAGATTTGGAGATAATGAAATCATGAGAAGTCACTGCAATCCGTTTTTGCTGGTAAGTAATCAGTTTTCTTGTTTAAAGCTCCATGCTTTTGTTTCTTTTTGGATTTTGATTTACGGCTGTGTTTTGGGGTGAAATCAATCTTGGATTTCGACTTTCTCGGGAAATTTTTTCTGAGTTCTGTAGTTGGGTATCTTGAGAAGGGATTAAAGTTTGAAAATTTTTGGGTATTTTGTGTTTGTTTTTGTGGAGAGTGAGAGGGAAATTTTCTGGGATTTTGAATTTTCTCGGGAAAGTTTTCGTTTCTGTACTGGGGGGAGTCTTTGGAAGCGATTAAAGTTTGAAAATTTAACTTCAATTGATTTAAATTTTGAATCTTTTTGCATCTCTTAGATCAAATATGTCTCTTTCTCTCTCTCTCTCTATAGACTTTCCCTGTATTTGTTTATACTACGGTGAAGTTGACAGATCGTTTAACGAGTCCTTGTATTTCTCACATGATACAAGACAGACTCTTGTGGTGTGCAGCAGAGCTGTATTATATGTCTTAATAATACTGTTAGGTATTTCAATTTTCTTGGACCAGACTTTCCCGAGAAAATTTTGAATTGTCTAGAGATTATTCTGTTCAACTGATGTGCTTTTAAAGTTACCGTTCTTTTTATATCTTTTTTTCTTATTATTATTATTATTTGTGGATGCCCCGTTTGAATTTAATACCCAACTGCCATTTTCACGTCCAGATGCCATAGCTTCAACGTCAAAGATCTCAGCCACTAGTTCCCTTTCCTTTCTCAAGACCGGTGTTCAGTGAAAGCACTCAAAATCAGATCTTTAAAGGCTGGCTAAAAAACTTTCTTGCTCTGATGTCGGTAACGGAAAAGTCACCGGCATCATCATCATCATCAGCATCACCATCCGTAGCAGTTGTATCAAGGGATATTGATCCATTGTTGAAGGATTTGAATGAGAAGAAGCAGAATTTCCGGCGAAACGTGGTGTCTTTGGCGGCAGAGTTGAAGGATGTCAGGGGCCGCTTGGCGTCTCAAGAGCAGTCTTTTGCTATGGAAACCCTAACAAGACAGGCATGTGATATGCTTGGTGATTACAATCATTTCTCTCTTTTTGTGCCTTTTTGCTTGTGTTGTGGGGTCATTTCTTTTTGCAGAAAATTGGGACTAAGTTTGTATCTTATACTCTTTTTTTCTTTTTTTTTCTCTTAGGAAGCAGAGTCAAAGGCAAAGAATCTGGAGGAGGAGATACATATGATGCAGAAGAGGTTAGAAGAGAGAAATGGGCAACTTCAAGCTTCTACTTCTGCAGCTGAGAAGGTGCCTTTTACATCCCAATTTCTTGAATTTATGTTGTCCTAATTTTGTGACTATGTCTTGATCTTGCCATCTAATTCATCATATTAAATGAACATATTTTGCCCTAATTGTGGTGTTGTCTGCTGCTGCATTGACTATGTTTGTCTGTCCTGTGATGGTTTTCTTGTTTTGCATCTTTACATGTTTTAGGATTCCTTTTCGCTTTTCCCATTTGTTTCTTTTCGGCCGAGCCCATTACAGAAAAGGCAACCATGTGGGTTTTCTATTATTTTATTGTCCCCTTTTTCAGCTTGGATTGATTCAAGAAACTATTGTCTCTATCCCAAGTACAATTATTTTTTTTTTTGGTAAAAGCCTGGTTTTGAAAGTCATGAATGATACTTTTTTTGTAGCCATAATTTTGGTTTCTTTTTTCTAAGTTAGATATTCGATGCAAACATTCAAAATTTTGTTGTTATTTCCATTTTATTTCTTTCCACTCTCAAGTTCTTTGAGTCTAATGTTCAATGCATCTTTTGGAATGATGAGGAGGGAATAAAAGTAACTTGTTCTAGTTTAAAATAGGAGGTTTTGGTACTTTTAGTTAAAGCAGTGTGAATTTTCCTATATTTGGCCGGAAAAGTTGTCATTTTTACAAAGTTGATAATTAACTCTTTAATTTTCAAAATGGAAAAAAAAGAAAAGAAAAAAAGAAACTCTTTGTCTATTTCATGAGACTGCTATTGAATTTAAATTCCAAAATCTCCCCTGAAAATGTTAGTTCCATTTAATTAGTTGAGTTTCAACCAAAATAATAATAATAATAATAATAATTAGTTGGGTGTTTATCACTTTATCTGATATATCAAGACATGTCTAACTAGTAAGTGGAGTCATTTAATGGTGCACTCTGCCTCTTTGATGTATAAGCTTGATTTATTCTCCTATTTTAAGTTGAAATCGTGCATCCAGATTTCAATAGCATGTGTTGCTTGGCCTTTCCCTCTACATTGACTCAATGAATTTGCATTCTCATAAATCATAGTTGCCTTGAACAGTATTTTACCCTTCAGATGGTAGGATCTTTTTCCTTTTGGGCTTTTAGCTTAATATAAGATGTGCTTCCTTTTTGTGTTTCTTTTTTTCTGTGATTTTGATATGCTTTCTGTCATGATTCAGTACCTCAAAGAGTTGGATGATCTTAGATCACAATTATCTGCCACTGAAGCAACTGCTGATGAAAATGCTGCATCAGCTCATTCGGCACAGCTTCATTGTCTTGGACTGTTGAAAGAACTAGATGAGAAGACCAGTTCCTTGAAAGAGCATGAGGATCGTGTAACTAGGCTAGGTGAGCAACTGAATAATTTGCAAAAGGATCTTCAAGCAAGGGAATTTTCTCAAAAGCAACTAAAGGATGAGGTTTTGAGAATTGAACGTGATATTATGCAAGCTGTTACCAAGGCAGGAGCTAACAAGGACTCTGAGCTGCGGAAATTGTTGGATGAAGTTTCTCCCAAGAATATTGAGAAGATTAATGAGCTTCTGGTTGTTAAGGATGAAGAAATAGCCAAACTAAAAGATGATATCAGGATTATGTCTGCCCACTGGAAGCTAAAAACTAAGGAAATGGAATCACAGGTACATTCAATTCTCCAAATCTTAATTGGACTTTATAATTTTTTGACTCTCTTCTTTATGGATTAGTTTATTATTTATCTCCAAAAAGGTTTAAAAATCTATTCTATGGAACAGTTAGAGAAACAGCGGCGAGCTGATCAGGAACTGAAAAAGAGGGTTTTGAAATTGGAATTTTGTCTCCAAGAAGCTCGTACTCAAACGCGGAAGCTCCAAAGGGTATGTTAATGTCTTGTTATTTTGTATAAAATGATGGTGACAGGTCTGATGTTAATGTGATTTATATCATTGTAGTCTTTGTTTTGTTCAATCTGTATTTTAAATTAGGCGAATCCCTCTCCTACTGTGTGTGAGAAGCAACACATTGTCATGCTCGGCCTCTAATTGGTGGTCAACTAGTAAATGACATCTTATGCATTTGTATAAACCTGAAAAATTTTGATTTAGGCAGTGTTGAGGCTATTGTTGGTTTAGGGATATAGGGACTGAATTGGAGGTGCAAAGGGTAGAAAAGAGGAGAGAAAGAGATATAAAACCCTCGAAGCCACACCTGAGTTTATTTAAGCATTACACCTGAAGAGGATATAAAATTCTTCTTGTTCCTGGTCACTACTCACTACTATATATTTCTGAGTTACTTTCATTTGCATGTCATGCAATTCACACTCATGTATTTTGTTGCTTTTGGCAGATGGGGGAGCGTAGGGACAAGGCTATAAAAGAACTTAAAGATCAGTTGGCAGCAAAACAAGAAGGTGGAACTGCTGGTACGGTGAAACAGAATTTCTGGGAAACATCGGGCTTCAAGATTGTAGTTTCCATGTCAATGTTGATCTTGGTGGCCTTTTCAAAGCGATGAATTTGTTTTGTAATCTAGCTATATGTTGTGCATAAACGGGAATACCAAAGAGTGTAGGAAACCTATAGAGTTAAGACCATTTTCCTTGTAGAAATGCTCTGGTACAGTTTTTTGTTTCTCATGTAGCATCACTTGAAATGTGCTTTTATCCATTGTCCTTGAGATCTACATCACAATAGTTTGCATATGCTAAACAGATGCATGACACTTTAAAAGTATTCTGTAGAGATTTCTTCCTAAAAAGGTTACTCCTTCCATCTGCCCTAGGAATCTCCATTTTGTTTTTGTTTTTGTTTTTATTTTTTTTGTATTAATATACAATCAGATGCATTTTCCTTCTAAGAGATGATTGTGTTACTAATAGAGTAACTATCAGCATCACCAAGTCAAAATGTTGGGTATAAGTAGTCAAGATGCTCGGTGTAACGGTCACTTCTTTTTCCATGCGAAAATGGTATCCAATGCATCGTAGGGTTCTATTCTTTGGTATCATTTTGCCGACAGAGTAATAATTGCTACACCAATACCGTGAACCTAGTATGAGTGAGAAAGAAAAATCTACTTGGACTTAGGTATAAATCTAATATGCTCACATCTGAATTTTTAAAGGCAGAGGTCCCATGGACTCAGCATACATATGACAGACAACATGAGATATGACTGAAAAAGTTTACATCTACATTCCAATAATATCTAGACATACTCTTGAAGTTCATTCAATGAAGAAACTTAGCTACAAAAACTCCACCGCATCATAAAGATCCTCATTATCTGAGACTACCAATTTAATATATCATACCTGAAAGAACATGCATACTTGATGTCTGTAATTAAACTTTTAACCTGGAGCATTAAACATGGCTACATTCTAAGCAGCTAATGCAAGGCAGTTAGTATCTTTGAACTCCAACTCCTCTATCATTCCCTGGAAAGCTTAGATCTGTGAACAAGTTGAAACTGCTGCTGATTCTCACCTTCTACTCAAGCATTAGCTTCTGATCTGTTTATATACATGCAGAAGCTTTCCATTCTATGCCTCCAGGATGATTGCTCCAGTGATAAAGGATGTTAATAGAATGACACAACCGACGAATGGTTGCAACCCGGATGACATTGATGTTGAGTTAAAACTAGAAGGGTTATCAATACCTGGGAATGAAGTCGTAGATGAGCTCGGGGTGCTTGAGTTCATCGATAAAGTTGGAGTACCAGAACTGCAGAAGACACACAAAGATGGGTCATTTTCCAAAGGTAAATGGTGTACCGTAGCAGTGTGTCAAATCTCATGAAATCAGTATGAACACTTCACCCTGGCACCCCTCCTCCTGATGTTGATGGCGTTGTAATGGGAGTTGGTGTTGCTGTTGATGGCGTTGTAATGGGAGTTGGGGTTGATGTTGATGGCGTTGTAACGGGGGTTGGGGTTGATGTTGATGCTGCTGAAGATGGGTAAATGCAAGAACCAGAGCCTGTTGATCATGTCACAAGATTGTAAGAACGGTCAATTCCTTCGAACTAGAACAGACTCAAGAGGAAATTAGAAATGATTCTTACTTGGATTGGAGTTTACTACAATTGCATTTCCTCCAAAATCACAGCTAGTTGGGACTGGATTCTTCTGATAATAGCTGTTGAAAGCATATGAAGCATGATTTTGCAGATTATTGGGATCATAACAGCTCCCACCTTGCTGGATCTGAGAACAGTCAGCACCTCCCATCCCACATGCATAATCCAACGCTGCCTGGAGTGAAGTCTGTGAAGCCCCTGTCTTGGCCACACACCAACGCTGCCCCTGATTCGCCGGAGCATTTGTGGCAGCTGCAGGTGGAACTGGGTTTGTCACCGGTGTGGTCACCGGAACCCCTCCTGCTGCTGGGGGCGGATATGTGGTTACAGGGTTAGTCACCGGCGGAGCCCCAGGGGCACTGATGGGAGCTGGTGTGGTAACCGGGACTGTTGGGTTGTTGGGGTTGGTAGAAGGGACAGTCACTGGTGTAGTAGTGGCCGGAATGGGAAGAGGGGTAGCTGCCGGATTATTCGGCGTTACGGTGACAGGATTAGACGGAATGGTCGCCGGAACGGTGATTATTGTTGTGGAGGGATTATCTGGTGTTGCAAGGGTGTTTTTGATACTGAACCCATGAGAAAGTTCTCTCCTGAAAGAAGGAAAGCTCTGATCCTGAAGATCTTCCATGGATGACACTATAGAAGAACATAGGAGGAGGAGGAAGAGGACAATGGAGATGCATTTGGAAACTGATTCAGCCATTTTTCTTGAGAATTTAGGAGAAGAAGCAGAAGGGTATTAGGATGTAAGAAAGGGAAAGTGTTGCAGACATAAAAATGAAGAAGAAAAGTGAAATAAAGTAGAAGGAGGAGGCAGAAGGTGTACTTCAGTCCCTCTACTTTGATTGTTATGGTATGTCAGTCCTTCTACTTAGAAGTAGTGCAAATCGACCCTCTTACTTACCAAAACTAGCAAATCAGCCCTTCTACTAAGGATGATGTCACTTTTCCGTGACTATTGCTATTGCCCCATTAAACTCCGGTTATGTGGCGCTGATTGGGCATGACATGGCAATTTTTTGACAACATGGCACCCACAATTTGTATAGTATTATTTGAATAAAAATTTTAAAAACAAAACAATAAGTCTTAGCATGTATTGTTTTTTATTTTTTTTGAGAGAATATATATAAGAGTTTTTTTAATTTATACATTAAAGGTGTATATAAAAAATATAATAAATATATATTTTTAATAAATTTATATTAAAAAATAAAAATTAATATTTAATTTATTAATTATTTAATTAAATTTATTAATTATCACATCATGCCCAATTAGTACCACTTAAGCAGAGTTTATCGAGGCAATAGCAATAGTCACGAAAAGTGATGTCATCGTTAACAAAAGGGTTAAATTGTTGGTTTTGGTAAATAAGAGGGTCGATTTGCACTATTGCACTACTTTTAAGTAGAAGGGTTGGATGCCACAACAATCTAAGTTAAAGGGTTGAATTGTACCTTTTGCCAAAGAAAAAAGATGAAAGAGTTTCCATATTTGTAATTTGGTAATATGAAATTGTAAAATAAAAATTATTAAATGAATGAAAAAAAATCTAATATCAAAGGTCTATCTTTATTTATTAGTTAAAATTATACAATTTAAAACAATTTAGACTATATAAAACATTTCTGGAAGATGAAATGACTGTTTCCTTTTTTTGGTGAAAAATGAAATGAATGTGTTTCACTCTGCGAAATTAAGAGGAGAAAGTTGCTACTTTGTCGTGAATGATGTTAGGAGTTGATGACATTAGAAGTCCTTGAACTTTTCTTTTGAATGTTTGCTTTGCCCTTTTACTTTTGTTTTATAGCTATTTTGTTTGATTGTTCAACTTTTACATTTTGGACTACATAAATTCTTTTTGAGAGCTGTCAACGAGGGATGGTAAAATTGGGTACCCTAATGCTTGAAGTCGTCTCATTTTGAGTTGGGCAAATTCAAGCTTGGCACATGACTCTTATATCAACTAGTTAAATAATTCATATTGAACATGTATGATTAAGCAGAGCTCAACTCCATGTAAATTTATATAATCAATAGTTCAGCTCAGTTTTATTTATAGTTCATTTGAAGCCAAAGTTGACATCAGATTGAAAAAGAGTTGTCCAACCAACATAATAAGGCAAAATTTAAGACTTAGAATATTACTTTTAAAAAATTTAAGGACCTCTAGTAAGGTTAACCCAATATGAGCTAGGGAATATTCTACCTCCTTTCCTTAATATGGCAGTCCACCCACGGGTGCCACTATTTAAAAAATTATTTTATTTTATTTTTTTATATAATTTTTATATATTATTAAATAAATTAATGCAATTATCATTATAAATTTTACATAAATTAAAAAAATTAATTATTTTTATAACATATTAAATTATATAAAAAAATAAAATAATTATCTCCATAACATTTTCCATTCATCTACAGTGAAATTGTGCAAATAATATTTACCAAAAAAAGGCAAAACCATAAGTTAAGCCTCTAAACTAATCCCTGAATCGCTATTAAGCCCCTAGACTTTAATTGATGCAGTTAAGCCCTTAAACTCTGGGATCAAAGCAATTAAGCCCCTAGAGTTTAATTTTTAAAATAAATTGCTTAAGAAGAAGGGCTTAATTGCTTTGATCCCAGAGTTCAAGGGCTTAACTGCATCAATTAAAGTCTAGGGGCTTAATAGCGATTCTGGGGTTAGTTCAGGGGCTTAACTTATGATTTTGCCCCAAAAAAATTGTGCAAAATAATTAGTCGTGCTTTCTTGGGCTGCTAACTGCTTTATCTTTTTCCCCAAAGACAATTAGGGCTATTTACAAAAAAAAAAAAAAAAAAAAGAGGGATGGGGAGGAAAGGCAATGAGCGATGTGGCCTACCGCCGCACACAGAAACAGATTATGTTTAATTTGATTAATATTTTATTAATTTATAATTTTTTTAA